GTGTGTGCGTTCCCGCGGGGGCCACATTGATCTCCTCACAACCACCTGAATCCATCTGGCTCTCGAATGCGACCTTGACTGTACCAACCCAACTATTTTTTTTCCTTTTCATTTACGTTTTTATTCGTCATTTTATTTACATTTTATTTATACTATTTGTTCGCAATATTATGAAAAGAAAGGCATCAAAGCGTACTACCTTCTACCTGTTGGAGGGGAGAGGGGAGAGAGGGCAGAGAGGGAGGGAGGGAAGGGGGAGAGAGAGAGAGAGAGGAGAGGAGCGAGGAGAAAGGGGAGAGGAGGGGGAGGAGACGAGGGGAACAGGAGCTCAGGTGAGAATCCTAAGGAGTCTGTCGGTCAATACAGGTAGTGAGGGTAATGGCGATAGGATGAGATGGGAAGATGAGAGGGAAGGAGAAATGGAAGAAGGAAAAGAGGGGAAAGAGGAGGAGGGAAGAAGGGAATGATGGAGTGAAAAAGAGAGAGAATGAGAAGGAGTGGGAGATGGAGCGGGAAATGAAAAACCGCAGATAAGGACACAGAAAGAGAGGGAAAGAGAGACATAATGGAGAAAAAGAGAGACAAAGAAAAATAGAATGAGAGAGAGAAGGAAAGAGAGAGAGACAGACAGAGACAGAGGCAAAGAAAAAATAGAATGGGAGAGAAAAAGACTTGGTAACAAGAGAGAAAAGTGAAGCACAAACAAAGGCAAAGAGAATGAAAGAAACACAACATATGGGAAACAAAAATACAAATAGAGAAAGACAGAGGTAGAGACAAAAACAGAGATAGATAGAGAGAGAAAGAGTTAGAAATAGAGAGAGAGAAAGAGTTAGAATAGAACAGAGATGAGAGAAAGAGTTAGAGATAGAAACAGAGATGAGAGAAAGAGAGAGAGACGAAAACAGAGATAGAGACAAAGGGAAAGAGAGAGGGAGGGAGAGAGAGAGAGAGAGAGTAAAAGCAGATATGCCGGCGAGCTCGGAATTCCTAGCTAATTTCGACGAAGAGGGAATTCAGCGGAGATGTCTACAACCGCGGGAGGACGAGGAGGGCGAGGAGGACGAGGAGGGCGAGGAGGAGGACGAGGGTGATTAGGAGGGACGAGGGTGACTAGGAGGACGAGGAGGACTAGGAGGACGAGAGCAAGGCGACCAGGAGGACGAGGTAGACTAAAAGGAGGAGAATGTCGAGTAGGACGAGGAGGGTATCGAGAGCAAGGGCGACTAGTAGGACGAAGAGAGAGAGGAGGGCGAGGGAGACTAGGAGGACGGATGAAATGAGGAGGATTAGGAGGGCAACAAGAGCAAGGGCGACTAGGATCGCGAAAAGGACTAGGAGGATGAGGAGGGCGACGAGATCGAGGAGGACAAAGAAGACGAGGAGGACGAGTAGGGCGACGAGAGCTAGGGCGAGTAGGAGGACGAGGAGGGCGAGGAAGAGGCAGTCATAGCGGCCTCATTATTTGAGATACATTGACCCTTCGTGACCTTTCGGACGATAGGAGGAAGGGGTGGGCGTGATAAAGGAGGAAGGGATGATGGGGATGATGAAGGAAGAAAGGAAGAAGGAAGGGTGGGGATGATGCAAGGAGAAGGGTGAGTGTGATGAATGAGGAAGGAGTGGTGGCGATGATGGGAGCAAGGATGAAAGGTGGTGATGAGGGGAAAGAGAGGATGATGATTGATCATAAGGAAATGATGGTGATGATAGGGGGAGAAAGGATTGTCATGATGGAGGAGGAAGTGATGGTGATGATGGATGAGGAAGTGATGGTGATAAGTGAAAGGTTAGTGAGGATAAAGAAAAAGGATGAAAGAATAGTGATGATAAAGGAAGAAGGCACAATAAGGATAAAGAAAAGGATGGCGATGATAGGGGAAGGAACGGTGGCGATGATAAAGAATGAGAGACAGTGGATGAGCGAAAGAAGGACGACGCTCCTAAGAAGACAAAAGAAAACGAAAGGATAACGATAACAACCGTGTTCGCGCTGTCCACGCTGGCCATCTGTCGAGGAAAACAAAACGCCAGCTGGCCATACGGCGGGGGGTGGGAACCAGCTGGTGGGCAGGCGGCGCGATGGAGAAGTGAGAAGGGGAGGGGGGAAAGGGGGGTGGCGGTTGAGAGGAAGGGAGGCCGGGGGGGGGGGGGAGTTTAACAAGACACTGTGTAAACGCGGTAAATATAGCATTGATCGGCAAGTTGGTGTTACCCTCGGATTAATTCATTAAGGCAACGCAACCCTCTCCCGCTCCTTCCCCTCACCCCTTCCACCCCCAGCAGAGGCATCCTGACTCCTCCCCCCTCCCCCCTCTCCCCTCCCCTCCCCTCCCTCCTTTTCCCCTCCCTCTCCCCTCCCCCGCCGCCTCTCTTCTCCCCCCTAAAGCTGCCTTGCCAGCATCACTTAAGAGGAAAAATCTATACCCGACCTCCCTCATCTACAACAATTTCGGATGGTAAATATGTAGCAACTCACGAGGCAACACTACCCCCTCCCCCCTCCTCCTCATCTTCCTGCAACCCTCCTCTCCCTCCCTCCCCTCCCCTCCTCCCCTTTTTTATTCATCCTTTTTTGCACCCTTTCACCTCCGTCCGGGAAGAGGAGAGAGAAGGTACGAGGGAGGGAGGGAGAGGGGAAAGAGAGGGAGAGAGAGAGATGGAGAGAGGGGAAAGAGAGGGAGGGCGAGAGAGAGAGAGAAAGAGGGCGAGGAAGAGAGAGAGAAGAGAGAGAGAGAGAGAGAGAGAGAGAGAGAGAGAGAGAGAGAGAGAGAGAGAGAGAGAGAGAGAGAGAGAGAGAGAGAGAGAGAGAGAGAGAGAGAGAGAGAGAGAGAGAGAGAGAGAGAGAGAGAGAGAGAAGAGAGAGAGAGAGAGAGAGAGAGAGAGAGAGAGAGAGAGGGCGAGAGAGAGAGAGAGAAAGAGAGAGAAGAGAGAGAGATATAGAGAGAGAAAATAAAGAAAGAAAAGCTCACAAAAATCCACCATAAAAAAAATAAAAAAATAAAATCCAGAGAAAAATCAAAATAGAAAAAAGGGAAAAAAGTAGATATTTACCCCTCCCCTCCTTTCCCCTTCCCTTCCCTTCCCATCCCCTCCTTCCACCGCACGAGAAAGAGGCTTGGCGAGGCAGGGGGGCTAAGCTGATTTGCGGGCCAGTGACAATCTGAGTGTGAATCCCGGGCCGCGTTAGTCCTGAGCTCCGGCAGGAATCGCAGGTCGACGGGCCCTTTGGGGTGGGGGGAAGGGGAGAGGGGGGGTGGGGAAGGGAGTGCTCATGGGGGGACTGTGGTGTGGGGGAGGAGGTGTTAATGAGGAATTGTGGTATGGGGAAGGGGGTGTTGATTTGGGATTGTGGTAGGGGAAGGAGGTACAAATGGGGGTTGTGATATGGGGAAGGGGGTGTTAATGGGGGATTGTGGTTTGGGGAAGGTGTTAATACGAGATTACTTTATGGGGCATGGGTACAAATGGGGGATAGGGATGTCGAGGGCAGGTGGGGAATGGGGATGGAATACAAGGGGTGGACGAAAGGGGACAGGGAGAAAAAGGAGGATAGATATTGGGGGAAAGAGTAGGATAGAGGATAGGGACGGAGGTGTAAAGGAGGCTGGATAATGGAATGGGCAGTGGAAGAGAATGGGGATGGAAATGGAAAGGGAGGTGAAAAATGAGGAAGGGAGGGGCCAGGGAGGATCGGGAGAGGGGGATGAAGCGATGGGAGGGGAGGGAGAGAGGTTAGGGGAGTAAGGGGAGGAGATAGGAGAAGAAGAAAGGAGATGGGGAAGTGGGAGAAGGGGAGACTACGGGTGAATGGAGAGAGGGTAAGGAGGGTAGGGAATAAAAGAGGGAACAGGAGGAGAAGGAGCGAAGAGGGGAATGAAAGTAGAATGGGAATAATGATAAAAAATAATAGAAAGGAGAAAGACGAAGAGAAAAAATGAAAGCAAAAGGGAGACGAAGAGAGAATATAAGATAGGGGAGCGAAGAGGGCGACGGAGAAACGGGAAGAAGAGGAAGGAGAAGCGGAGACAAAGAAGAGGAACGAAAGGCGGGAGAGAGAGAAAGAACAACAGAAGTGAAACAGGAAAGAAGGAAACGGGACAGGGAGAGGAGAGAAGGCAAGGGAGCGAAGAGGCAGCAGGGGAGGGGAGGAAAGGGAAAGAAAGGGAAGGAAATGAAAAGAGCGGAGAGGGAAGAGAATGGAGAGGAAAGGGAAGGAAATGAAAAGGAAGGAGAGGAAAGGAAATGGGAATGCAAAGGGGAAGGGAAGGGGAAGGGGAAGGCGTTTTGGGCGGCCGTAAAGATCGGCTTCACCTGTTGGGGAAGGGAAGTGCCTCGCTCGCCCGGGTCGTCGGCCCCGGGCGTAAGGGGGACCTCGAGCCTTAAGGGGGGGTGACGCCCTTAAGGGGGACCTCGAGCCTTTAAGGGGACCGTGAGCCTTTAAAAGGGGGACCGCGAGCCCTTAAGGGGGACCTCGAGCCTTAAGGGGGACCGTGAGCCTTTAAAAGGGGGACCGCGAGCCTTAAGGGGGACCTCGAGCCTTAAGGGGGACCGTGAGCCTTTAAAGGGGGACCGGAGCCCTAAAGGGGGAGCCCGACCGAGCCTTAAAAGGGGGACCTGAGCCTAAACCGGAGGGACCTCGAGCCTTAAGGGGACCGTGAGCCTTTAAAAGGGGGAAGCCCTAAGGGGGACCTCGAGCCTTAAGGGGGACCTGAGCCTTTAAAAGGGGACCGCGAGCCCTTAAGGGGGACCTCGAGCCTTAAGCGGGACTTCGAGCCTTAAAAGGGGACCGAGCCTTAAGCGGGACCTCGAGCCTTTAAAAGGGGGACCTCGAGCCTTTAAAAGGGGGGACCTGGAGCCTTAGGGGAGAGCCTTAAGGGGGACCGCGAGCCTTAAGGGGACCTGGAGCCTTAAGGGGACCTGGAACCTTAAGGGGGGACCCGAGGGGGACCTGGAGCCTTAAGGGGGACCGCGAGCCTTAAGGGGACCTGGAGCCTTACCTCGAGCCGGGGGGAGGGGACCTGGAGCCTTAAGGGGACCTGGAGCCTTAAGGGGGACCGCGAGCCTTTAGCCTTAAGGGGGACCTGGAGCCTTAAGGGGGACCTGGACCGCGAGCCTTAAGGGGGACCCTTAAGGGCCTTCGAGCCTTAAGGGGACCGAGCCTTAAGGGGGAACCTTGCGAGCCTTAAGTTCGAAAAACTCGAAGACGCTGTTCTGGCTCTCGAGGCGATTGGGAACATGGCCCCGTCCGCGCTCGTTCTTCCGCTGTCTTTTATTGTGTCTCTCTCTCTCTCTCTCTCTCTCTCTCTCTCTCTCTCTCTCCTCTCTCTTTCTCTCTCTCTCTCTCTCTCTCTCTCTCTTCTCTCTCTCTCTCTCTCTCTTCTCTCTCTCTCTCTCTCTCTCTCTTCTCTCTCTCTCTCTCTGCTCTCTCTCTCTCTCTCTCTTCTCTTCTCTCTCTCTCTCTTTTCTCTCTCTCTCTCTCTCTTCTCTCTCTTCTCTCTTTCTCTTCTCTCTCTCTCTCTCTCTCTCTCTCTCCTCTCTCTCTCTCTCTCTCTCTCTCTCTCTCTCTCTCTCTCTCTCTCTCTCTCTCTCTCTCTCTCTCTCTCTCTCTCTCTCTCTCTCTCTCTCCTCTCTCTCTCTCTCTCTCTCTCTCTCTCTCTCTCTCTCTCTCTCTCTCTCTGTCTTTCTCCCTCTCGTCTCTCTGTCTTCTGTCTGTTTACTCTCTCTCTCTCTCTCTTCTCTCTCTCTCTCTCTCTCTCTCTCTCTCTCTCTCTCTCTCTCTCTCTCTCTCTTCTCTCTTCTCTCTCTCTCTCTCTCTGTTCTCTCTCTCTCTCTCTCTGTTTCTCTCTCTCTCTCTCTGTTTCTCTCTCTCTCTCTCTCTGTCTCTCTCTCTCTCTCTCTCTCTCTTTCTCTCTCTCTCTCTTTCTTCTCTTTCTCTCTCTCTCTCTCTCTCTCTCTCTCTCTCTCTCTCTCTCTCTCTCTCTCTCTCTCTCTCTCTCTCTCTCTCTCTCTCTCTCTCTCTCTCTCCTCTTTATGTATCTATCCATCCATCCATCTATCAATGTACCTTTCTACCCATGTATCTATCTCCTCCAATTGCTTCTTTTCTTTCTTTCTTTCTCTTTCTCTTTTCTTTCTTTCTTGCTTTCTTTTTTGCCATCCTTTTCCTTGCAAATGAGCAACATCGACAGCATTTGAGCCTGAACTGCTGTAAATAAGATGCGAGAATATGATCTTTAGAAAAAAAAAAATAAGATCAAAGAATAGACAGTGCAAGGAGCCGAAAGGATTCCACGTTAGCGCCCCTGGATTCGTAGCTGCAGCAGGCGGGGCGGATGGGCGGCGGGCGGACCCATCTATCAGGCGAGGTGAGGGATGGGGAGGAGGGGAGGGCAAGAGAGAGACTAGCCAATAGCAGATGGAGATGATTCGCAGCTGGTACGAGGTGAGGGGTTGGGGATTCCACCTCTGACAGGCGGCACCCTCGGAACCCTCCCTGGTGGCGGAAAGCTCTCCATGGGCGTGGGCGTGTGAGTGATTGATTGATGAGTCATGATTGATGGTGGGGTGATGGGTGGGGTGCGAGGGAGGAGGATACGGGAAGGAGGAGGATGGGAAGAATTAGGGGGATAGGGAGAAGGGAGAGAGGGAATAGGGTGATGGGGAAGAGGGATGAAAGGGGTGGGGGTGACGGGGAAGAGGAGGGGGAAGGAGCCTAAGGGTGTCTGTGCTAGTTTGGAGTGTGGTTAGTGGGGGTAATTTGGCCGTTGTCAGCGCTGGTGACAAGTGGGAATCGTGATTGGAGAGAGAGAGGGGTGGGATAGACTGCCAGGGCGTGTTGACTACCATGGTGATAGGCTCTGTGTATGTTATATATAATATATATATATATTATATATATATATATATATATATATAATATATATATATATATATGTATGTATATAGAATAAACACATATATATCTGTGTGTGTGTGTGTACATAATGTTAAGTTATGATATACCGCATCCTCTCAACCTTGGGTTTGTTCGTTCCCATCCGTTCCCACAATAACTCGCTAACAAACTTGTTATTCCTTAGTACCTCATCAGCGCTGCGCCAGAAGAAATAATGATCTCCCCAAGATGTTCTCGCCCTTATTGGAAAAGTTTCTTTGGAAAACAAACACGGGATTTATTATCCAAACTCATTATCCATCCTCGCATAATGTGCCTCATAATGTGCGGTATGTAAATGTTTCCCTCTTGGTGAATAAAGTGTGCTACTTCCTCCTCCTCTTGCGTGTGCTGTGAATCTGAATAGGATTGTGAATATGTAAAAATTCACCCATTTGCAAATATTTCTTCATTCCGCAACAGAGGCTTTTTTTTTCTTTCTTTTTTTTATCCGGTTCGCCTAAGAGGGGTCTTATTACACCTTATTTTCCTTACGACGTATTCCTTCGCAAAACCTCGCCGCCTCTAATAGATTCGTGATCCCGGGAGGAGCGAGATGAGCCGTAATGAATTGTCTCGAGATACACAATACAATGATACAAATACACACCTAAAGGATGATACAATAGACCTCCCCCCTCCCCCTCCCCCTCCCGAAGGCCCAGGTTATTCAGGGTCGGAGGAGCGGTGGATTAAGATGACAGTCTTGATGTTGTATTTAATTGCAATTCCCTCAAGATCCTGCACCCGGCATCGCGGCCCACCCGAGGCTTCCGGGGGGGGGGGGGCGTCTGGGAGAGGGATTCCTTAAGTGGGAGGATTTTTTTTCTTTCTTTCTTTCTTTCTGTGGCCATTTATTTCTTCTTCTTTTGTCTTCTTCTTGGTCTGAAGGAGTTAATTCTCTCAGTCGGTTTCTTGGTCTCTTTCTTTGTCGAGTGTGTGTGTGTGGGGGGGGGGGATCTTTAATTGTCATGTGGATTCGGGAGGGTAATTGGACCTTTGGGTCGCGTTGATTACATTTATACCGGGGAAAATATATCCGCGTGGTGTGTGTCTCTCTTTTTACACTCCAAAACATCGGCATGGGGGGCAATTTAGGGCTGTGAATGGGTTCATCAATGGGTCCTATCCGCCGGAGGGTCGAAAGAATAGAGGCTCTTAACGCCTCCACCTCCCCTCCCCTCTCCTTCCCCTCCCCCCCCTCACCGTTTTGCCTCCGTCCCTCTCCCACCTCTACTCCGTTCCCCCCCTTTTCCCTCTCGGTTTTTCCTTCTTTCCCTTCCTCCTTTCGGTTCTTTTCCTTTCCCTCTTTTCGCTTCTCCGGTTTTTCCTTCTTTCCCTTCCTCCTTTCAGTTTTTCCTATCCTCCTTTCGCCTCTCCGGTTTTCCCTCTCCCTTCCTCCTTGCTGCCGTTCCTCTCCTCTCCCCCTCTTCGCCTCTCCGGTTTTCCTTTCTCCCTTCCTTCCTTTCAGTTCCTCTCCCACCCTTTCCTTTTGCTCGCCTTCTTTCTCCTTGCCTCCCCTTCCCTCTTCCCCATTTTCTCTCTCTCTCCCTTTCTCCTCTGAACCTTCCTTCCCCCCCTTCCCCTTCCCCTTCCCTTTGCCCCCCCCTTAAACCCTCTCTTCCGGAAATTTACTTATCTCTCGAGCGATAATGATCTGCGAACGAGGGCAAAGAGAGGGGAAAAATACACAAGATCTATAATAAAGAGACAATTACGTATCACACGCTGGGGCAAGTGTGGGAATCTTTACACGTTTAATGTTCGGGAAAGGATGTTCTTTTTCCTTTTCGATTATTTGGGTAGTTTTTATTAATAGTTTGTTTGTTGTTTTGATGATTGTTATAGATGCGGTGTTTTTCTCCCGATTTTTTTTAATGGATTGAGTTTTTTTTCTTCTTCTTCTTGTTTTTCTCCCGATTTTTTTTAATGGATTGAGTTTTCTTTTTTTTTTTTTTTTTCTTCTTCTTCTTGTTTGATTTTGTGTTTTCCGAAATTCTCCCTTTTCTGGGTCGTGTCTTCGTGCAGGTAATTTACTGGGTTTAAAGATTATTTTGTAATGAGCCTGAACGGTTTTGTGTTCGGAAATAAAAATTGAAAGTGGGTGTTAACACTGGATAATTTTTTTCTAATGATGGGTGCTTATTTTTAGAAAACCTTTTTTGTTTTGTTTTTGAGAGGGGAGGCGGGGGTTGGAAGGTGAGGAAATTCTTGTAATGGCTGTAAAAAAATGTTAATTTCGGGTAATTTGAGAGGGTGTTGTGGTAAGAGTTTCAGTAACTGAACATTGTGCTGTCGTTTGGAAGTGGGTTTGTTTTGGGCGCGCACACGCTCGTGGATGCGTATATATGTATGTACAATGTGTGTGGTGTGTGTGTGTGTGTGTGTGTGTGTGTGTGTGTGTTTACTTGGTGTCTGCGTGCGTGTTTGCATGTTTGTTTGTGCATGAATTCGCGATTGTATGAGAGGAGGCTTAGCACATGTGCACCTCCGTGCCCACACCTGCGTAAGCGTCCCACAGCCCCCCCTCCCCAGCCTTAGCCCTTGTGTAAGTGCCCCCCCAGCCTTAGCCCCCTGCGTAAGTGGCCAGCCTCATCCTTAAAGCCAAGCGGCGGCGGGCGACCGAAAAGAAGCCCCAGCCCCGCCGAAGCCCGAACCCAAAACCAATGCCGACATTACCTTTAAGTGTGAAGTCTCGGTTTTAAGCTGAAATACAGGGGTTCGGCGCGGCTCCCTGTTTAGGTAGATTTAATGCATACTATATATGCTTAAATGCGCGTTAATACCGCTTTAAGGTCTTATGAATATTAACCGGCCGAGTCTCGAGCCGGACAGAAAGACTCGCGCACAGGCGCGGCGACAGACGAAGCGTGACTGATAAAGCACAGGAATGGATATAGAAGAGGGTAATAGAGGGAGACGGCGGTTCTGTGTTGTGCTTGTGTGTGTGTGTGTGTGTGTGTGTGTGTGTGTGTGTGTGGTGTGTGTGTTGTGTGTGTGTGTGTGTGCTGTTGTGTGTGTGTGTACATGTGTTTTTTATATTGACGTTTAGTCATGATATGC